ATGCTAATACAGTTTTAATAATACATGTATTTAAAAGTAATATTTGATAGATTTATTTTAATAAATTCCAAACTGAATAATAATTAAAGTAAAAAATTACATTTCATAGACTTTTTGATTCAGTTAATAAAAAATGAGTGATAATTGAAATAAAAAATGCTTTTAGACTTTGTTATGACTGAATTTGTCATCTTTGATAATAGTCAAATCGCAAAGCTTCAAATACATTTGTAGCAGTTAACAAAACGAACGAAAATTCGGCCCATTCAATGTTGGCCAACACGATGAACAGCAAAAACAGCAGCAGCTCGGCAACACTGAAATTATTGCAGTGGCCTGGCATGTACAGTTAACATTTGCTGTTGCACAAACTTTTCAATTGGACTCTCGAAAGTGGAGCGTCTGGCCATGACGTGGACAACATAAAATGCAGTCACAGTCCGAGTCACAGTCACAGCTGTCTGGTTATGGTGGAGGGGGAAGGGGGCTTCGGTTCGGCCCTTTTCACGTTTTGTGTGCCATGTCCGATACAAATAGCACAGATGGCATTGGCCAAATAGACACAGATGCATCAATTGTCTAATTGTTTGCCGAGACAGAGTCGTCATAATGTCCATCAAATTACTGCCCAAGAGTTGACTTGGCTTGGCTTGGCTTCAGCTGGGATGCGCTCGGGCTGGGGTCACAAATACTATGTGAGGGTGTCTGGCAGCAAAGCTCGGCTGTCTGGCTGCCTGGCTGCCTTGCTGCTGTTGTGGGGGCTGCCCGTGGGATAGGTAAATTTGATTTATGACTTATTATGCGTCTTATGTCCTTTCATAATTTAATTATAGCAGGACATAGCTGCACAGACACCGGACAACAGACTGGGAATGTGACTGCGACTGCGAGAGTGAGAAATGCAGTTTTTATCTGCCCCCAACTCGCTCTCTCTCTCTCTTTCTGTGTGTGTGTGTGTGTCGTATAAACACAATAGAGCATAATGCTCTGTTATTTAAATGATGAAAATTCGCTTACGCAAATTGCATTGCAACAATTGTTTATGCCCAGCTGCATGCGCAAGCAGTTTGTGCAAAAACCAAAAGCGACAAGCCCAAGCCCAAGCCCAAGCCCAAGTCGAAGCACAAGCAAAAGCCAAAATGCAAATGTAATTAAACTGCACTTAGCCAGTTCTCATTCCACTCCCTCTGTGTGTGTGTGTGTGTGTGTGCTTGGTATGCCAAATGAAATTGAAATAAATTATTGACTAATTGTCAAGGCAGACAGACAGACAAAGAGAAAGAGATAGTGAGAGAGAGATGGATGGACAGACAGGAATCAGGCCCACATGGCGTATGCGCAATCACAACTGCAGCTAATTTCGTAAGAAAAACGTGTTTGAGTCTTGCCCTTTTGTCTGCTTTTTAATGCATATCTGCATTTAATTTGATTGTTTATGTGCGCATTAGCCAGGGAATTGTCGAGAAATCAATGTCACCTCGACTGCACACACTGTGGTCTGTGGTCTGAGCCAAACGCCTGCTCCAAATCCAAAATAAAGTGTTTTACAATCACTTTTTAATCAGCTTTCAATTAGATGATTGGACAGACGCCTGTCGAATGCCAACTGCAAGAGTGCGAGCTAGTTATGAGTGTCATCCGTACACCTGAGAGTATGACGAAGCTCTTTTATAAATTAGCTGCGGCCGAGAGTTGAGATGATTGTCAAAGTGATTGAGTTGACACATTCAGGAATTTGCATTCGTTTTGAGGCTATTTACAACTTTATTTGAAATATCAACATCAAACATATGTCAAAGCAGTTATCGAACAGGTTGGATTGAAAATTATTAAAATTAATGTACACATATTATTCACATATTATTCATCAGTAAATCTGATTATATATAATTCCTTGAGAATAAAATAAATAAATAAATTAAACTGCAGGGAATGAATATGTGAGAACTGGAGGAAGCTATCCAACATATGGAGCTAGAGATATTTAGATTTACTTT